GTCTTAACCATTTCAGCTACTTTCAGTTTGACCAGTTAAAGAACATAGCATGGACATTGGATTTAGTTTGACAGCAGTCTGAAATCATCATAGAAAATTGGGGTTGTTAGGGACCTGAGGGGGTCATCTAGTCCAGCCCCCTGCTCAAAGGAAGACAATCTAAACAATATATCTAAATAGATATTGCTTATGCATAAAACAAAATGCAAATGCCTGTAGGCAACAAAACCCACAATTTTAATTTGAAGATGCAGAGGATGAAACCAAAACCCCCCCAGCATTTCCCTACCTTCCTAGAGGATAAATTCTTCACAAATTTCCAGTATGCTAGAATACTATTTGTCAGATGTTTTTTTGTAGCAAAACCCTCAGTTTTTTTTTCTTTTTAAAATGCATTCCTTCCCTTTCCCCAAACATTTCTGACTTTCTCTCTGCCCTCTCTATCCCTTATAAGTGATTTCAAGTAGTACTAGGGTAAGCTAAGTTCTTGTATACTATTATTGTAATAAGACCCTTTTTTGTAAATAGTGTTCTGTTATGTTTGTATTGATTTGTATTGTTTCATATTAATATTGTATGGTTTAGGCCTGTGTTTGTAAAGTGATGTCAAGTATCCATTCCCATCTTGTCCCCATGCCCTGTTGTGTAAGTATGTTGCAATTCTGTAACCTCTCCCATGTAAACTGGTTTTCCTTGAATGCCTGAAACACAAAGATAGCAGGACCCTCTACTAAATCACCCCACCATCAAAACCAATACCTGGACCAACAACTCAGCCATTGGAAGCACCCCCAGCATTCAAGAAACAAAAGATGAGGCAACCCACCACTGTGCCAAGGCTGCACATGTTCAGTATGAACATCTGGAACCCGCTGGAACAGAACTGACATTGCCTGGACATGCTCTCCCCCTAGGAGATCATAGGTAGTCTGCCCCATAAAAAGGGGTAGTGAAGACTGACTTCTGGGGACATCATCTTCACTTGGACCAGGCCTACTCCACGTCACACTGCCTATCAACCCAGAGGTCCTGCCGGTTACCCCACTTTGGACAACACCTGCTGGAGAAAGACCCCAACTGGCCATTGAGGACACCCTCCCAGCCTGGATAGGTAGCTATCACCCCCATCCTCTCTTCAACCAAGGACTCGGACTCTGTTTCTCTTCCCTACCTTGACTCTAACCCTTCCACTGAGCCTCTTTCTCCTGCTAACATTGTGTGAGTGTGTGTAGGAACCAAGCTGTACAGTACAGTGTTCGTTTAATAAAACTGTTATTTGGAACTCTGAGTTGGGTTTTGCTTTACTACGGTACCGGCCCTGCTCCAATCTCTGCTCCTCCCCTCTCTAACTTCTGTCTCATTTCTCCTCCTGCTTCTGGCTCACCACCACCTCCAATACCTCTCTCATGCTCCTGTAGCTCCAGCCATCCTGAGCTCCTCTCTACCTGCAAACCACTGTTTCTTTGTTATTGCCCCATTTCCACTGCCTTTTCCCCTGATCTCTGACACTGCTATCGCTTCATCCCCACTGCCTTTTTCCCTGATCTCCGCCACTTGATCTTTAGTTAACAAGCACCCCATGCATAGGTACCACAGACACCAACACACACGCACTGTCACCTGAGTCAGTGTTTAACCTGTGTGTATATGTGTATGTATGTATTGCATATGATTTCACATCATTATCATTAGAGTGTGTATGTGCTTGAATTGATGGTAGGTATGCATGTGCCTAGGCTGGTAATCTTGGATGTATATGTGCCTGAGTTGGGGGAGAGAGAGAGAGCGAGAGAGCATGTGTGTGTGTGTGTGTGTGTGTGTGTGCGCGCGCACCATGCCCTCCTGTCTAACAGCATGATATTGAGAATTGAGAACCTGAGCATTGGCCTGACCCCACAGGGCAACATTTTAAAGAAAAAAAAAATCACTGTTTGTATGTAAAGCTTGGACCACAACCTATTCTTAATTTTTTCCCCCCCAAGGATGATCTGCTACTAAGAAAAGTATCAAAACCCCACAAAAGCAATCACTGTTTATCAAAATTGTATGCGCCTTTTCTGGTTCAAAGTTAACTGCCTACCACATCTAATTTACTGTATTGTTTTCAAATTAAAAACCTTGAGAGGAAAAAACAACTTCCCTATTTTCTACTGGGCAATACAGGATCTTTTAATTTTCACAGCATTTCCTTTTCCCTACTACCATGACTCCTACATTTACATATCTGCACAATAAGGCATCATTCACTTGGATGAGTTTATTTTCTAAAATAAATTTTGTTGAGGGAACAGAAGGAGACCAACTTACCAACACATATCAAGTGAATTAGAGCCCAGAAATACCCATTTGGATCAAACTGCAAAAGAAAACTAAATAAATGCATTTGCGTGTAAACAAACCTAACACAAATATTTCCCTGTATTAGATTTCAGAAACCACCTGCAATGGGAACTGTACTGCAAATGGCAACCTGCTAGGAAAAGCAAAATGTTTCTCAGTTGGTCTCCCACAGAGCCCTAGCTAGCTACCACTTGCTCGGCATATAGCTTTATATTCCATAGACCAGATGTTCAGTGGATGTAAATCAGAGCTCCACTGACTTCAGTGGAATAACACTGATGTAAACACTGAAAATCTGAGTCCCTATCTTCACACACTGCTTTCAAAACTTTGCACTGCACTCCTTGAGAAACCAGATCTTCCTTAATTGGCACAGCTGACAGGGATCACTGCACTCAAAACCTGTAACTCCCCCCCACCCTCTCTCCTGCCATCTCAACAGCAATTGATCATTCAGGCTCCTCAAGATTCCTGGCTTCTGTGAATTCCTAATAAGAGAAATCACATTTCATGATCAAACACAAAAAATCCAGTGTAGAATACCAGCCATGCCTCATATGCATATCTTGTGTTACGGTTTCTAAATAAGCATGTTCAGTATGTACACACCATAAATACAGAAAAGGGTGAGAAATGTGCAGTAAAATGACTTAATGTAAAGTACTTTGAGCTGTTTGGAGCAGGGAACATCTTAGGAGTTTACACATCAGTTGCCTTTCAGAATGGTTCTGGTCCATTACTATCCATTATACCTAGATAATGTATAATTAGGGACCTACTTAATTTGAGGCAGCTGCCCACCAATTTTGCAGGAAAAACACAGGTCCCAGCAACCACTGTGTTGTACTATCTGTACTGCTTCTATAGTGTATATCAGTACTGCCCACACATACTGACTTGGCACATGCAAGTCCCAGAAATGAGGCAGCGAAGCTGTCTTGAGGGTGCCTCCCCATCCCCACTTTTGAGATCCGTCTCTATTGTGCCTGAGTGTGATGGTAGGGTGCAGCACCCATATATGCTATAGAAGCAGTACGGATAGTACAACACAATTTTTTATAATACTTCCAACAATCAATTATATATTTTCCTAGAACACAGGTCTGCACAACTATGTCCCCCTGTTTGCAAATAATACTCCCAAATATCAAGATCAAAGATGACTTACAAAACAGACCTACCTGTGTGTCACACAAAGGAAGGCACCCTGCAGCTATGAGGAGGAACAGTACACTGTGGGGAAGAAAACAGAAACCTGCAGTTTATTATCCAGTGCTGTGTTTCCAGATGAGTTTGGCAGTTTCCACTCAACCTTACATTGATTTCACTTCATTTTTACATAGAACATCACCTTTTCCTGGAAAATGAAGGGTTTTTTTTTACCAGTTCGCTTTTGTATTTAACAGAAAAATTTCATGTGGATAAAATAATTTTGGTGTAAAATGTACCTTAATGTCATGGACAAGCTTTGTCTCAAACACAAAACGTTGCTCTAGGTTCTCATTTAACATCTGGCTCATAGGGGCCACTCAAAGAGGAACAAATTCTGATTAAATGGTTGGCAGAGTTATTCTTGTTGAAGGAAGTTGCCTGCAGACACAAATGCTGCAGAGCTGACTGCTGTCTCAGCCATTTCCCAAACCCAGCACAGAGACCGTAATAGGATTGGAAAGTGGTAATAAGACAGGTGATTGCACTAATCCTTCACTGCTCTTTTTCAAACCAATGGTGAGTTAGCTGCAAGTTCAGAGAGCTGCGACCTGCTCTTTGACAGTACCCTTGTCCCTTGAGCCTAGCATAGTTTAGATGCAGGGGAGAATTCAGCCTACTGTTTAATTGTTGTAACTTTTATCCTATTTTATCTATTCTCTTCTTTACAGGGTGCCCTCACTCCTTGAGTTTGTTCAATGCAGAATGGAAACTCTTTGGCCCTGAAACCATGTTTGTTTTTATTTCTGTAATGCACCATGGTAGCTTTGGAAGCTTGTAACAATATTAACAGGGAAGAATATTTGATTTTGCAAATAATTTTTCATTTTTTTAGAGGGGGGGATTGGCAAAACAAAACAAGAAACACTTAAGCACTTTTGACTGAGGTAACCTGGGGATCAAAACCCAGGTATGACAAGTAGGTTTATTGAAAAAAAAGAAAAACAAGAAATCACTGGGAATGTATTACTTCTAAGAAACAAAAAAGCCACCAAATTCCACAGGCCCGTTGGCATAGTATGCTGATTTCTGTACTCGGTGACTTAAGAGAATAAGGCGATTAACATCATATCTAGCTGCCCATATCCAGTCCAAATGACAAGATACCCATTTACAGCTAAGGGGCATTTATACACGTGCTCCGGGGAAGGCGGGGTGTGTCAAAAGAGCTTTAAAGTGCCCCCACCATTGTTTTTCAGTGCAGGAACTTAGATACACATGACACTGGAGACTGCTGGAGTGCAGTAATTACCATGCTCCAG